ATAGAGCCAAAGATGTTAGAATTGTGTCAATGTCCCAATATTTCTGGACCTGACTGTAGCTGCCCATCTCACACAAAGTGATTGTGGGTGGTGTACAGCAGTTAAAAAGAATAAATACATAAAACAATTAAAAATAAAAAGTATAAAAGCACACAAAACAGGAGGGGATAAAATTAATACGGGAGCCATTGCAAAATCTCCCCGGTCCTCTGGGACCCCCAGACCTGATCACATAGCCAGGTCTTGAGGGATTTCCGGAATGTTAAGAGGGATGGAGCTAATCTCACTTCTGGGGGGAGAAGATTCCACAAGGTGGGCACCAAACCAGAGAAGGGCTGCCTCCTGGGACCCACCAAATGTAATCCTCTGGCAGATGGAACTCGCAGCATGCCTTCTCTGTCAGACCTGATGGGACAGGCAGATGTAATCGGGGAGAGGTGGTCCCTCAGATAAACTGGCCCCATGCCATGAAGGGCTTTAAAGATCAAAATCAGCACCATGAATTGTACCTGGAAGCAAACTGGCAACCAGTGCAGCTTGCGGAGCAGAGATGTAACATGTACCTCCCCAGGGGCATGCATAACTGCCCATGCCACTGCATTTTGCACCAGCTGAAGCTTCCGGATACTCTTCAAGGGCAGCCCCATGTAGAGCACATTACAAAAATCCAAATGCGAGGTGAGTAGGTCATGAGTGACAGTGATTAGGTCCCTCTGATCTAGGAATGGGCACAACTGGTGCACAACATGAAGCTGTGCAAAGGGCCTCCTAGCCACTAGTGCCACCTGCTTTTCAAGCAGGACTCATGAGTCCAGGAGGACCCCCAGATTGCGCACAGGGTCTGTCTGGGGCAGTGCAACCCCATTCAGTACCAAAGATGGCATTGCCCTAGAACCAGAAGGCCTCAAAACCCAAACCCACTCAGTCTTGCCAGGGTTCAGTTGAAGCCTGTTGCTCCTCATCCAGATCCTCACAACCTCCAGGCACCGGGATAAGACATTCACAGCATTGCTTAATTCACCAGGGGCAGAGATGTATAATTGAGTATCATCAGCATATTGAAGATACCTCACCCCATGGCAACGGATAAGCTCACCCAGCAGCCTCATGCAGGTGTTAAATAGGAGAGGGGAGAGCACCAAACCCTGTGGCAGCCCACATAAGAGGGGCTGAGGACGGGTTCTCTCCTCCGCAACCACCACCAACTGGAATCGGCCCCAGAGGAAGGAGGTGAACCAGCACAACACAGTGCCACCCAACCCCAATCTTCTGAGCCAATCCAGAAGGATACCATCGTTGATGGTATTGAAACCCACAGAGAGGTCACGTAGGGCAAGGATGGATGCACAAACCCCATGCTGCCCTTGCCAGAGATCATCCAAAAGCATGACCAATGTTTCCGTCCCAGGCCTCATTCCCAACTGAAAGGGATCCAGATAATCCGCTTCATCCAAGGTCCTCCTAAGTTGCTGTGCAACCACCTTCTCAATCACCTTCCCCAAAAAGGGGAGGTTAGATACTGCATGAAAATTGTCCAGTATAGTGGGGTCCAGCGATGGCCTCTTGAAGAGGGGGCAAACCAAAGCCTCCTTAAGAGGCAAAGGAACAACCCCCTCACTCAAAGAAGCATTAATCATTGCTAGAACCCACTCACATGACACCCCACCCAGGCCACCTTAACCAGCCAGGAGGGACATGGATCTAAAGAGCAGCTCACAGTCCTAAGGGCCTTGTCCACTTCCTCAGGTCCAACAGGGTCAAACCATTCCCAAATAACAGGGCAAGGCTCCTCCGTAGGCATCTCCACTGGACCTGCAGCAAAGCCAACGTCCAACTGAAAATGATTTTATGTGACAGATGCCAGGAAAATTCTTCCCCACATCCCTTCAGAAGGTTCTCTGAGCCCTCCCTACGAGGAGGGCTCACGTCACCTGAAACAGGGCTGCAAGGATGCAATGAGAGCGGAGGAGGAATGATGCCTCACCCCCCCTTATTGCCTTAACATCCTTGTTAGTCAACTCCTGAGACTAGACGAGGGCGCAACTCGGACTCCAATACTTCCTGCAAGGTTGCTTCATCAAGCAAGTATTGGGATACTCCTATATGACATTTTAACCAATGCCTTATGTTGTCCACTAGGACATACACAATCTTCATTCAACAATTAGAGGAAGTTGTTGTGAGATGTCCTCCAGAAGTAGCTTGAGATGCCGTGAATGTATGGATGATATCAGATTACTGGGAAGCTGCTCATGCCCTGAAAAACTGGTTAGATGAGAGCTAATAAACTAGCTCAGAAAAAGGGATTCAGACCACTTTGGAGAGAGTTGCATGTTCCTTGAATAAATGATGCTGCATTTTGGGAGGCGGGGATCCTCATCCTACCTGAGTTGGAAGTACAACTGCTATTTCTGCTCCACCACAAAGAGGAGATGTTTCCACCGGTATCATCATTGTTCCATTTTCTGAGAGCAAGATAAAAGGTTAGGAAATGCTTGTTTTAAAAACAGCTGGAGGAAAACTATGCACAAAGGCCAGGCTTGCACACAGGTCTAAGGTACTACTGTAAAAGAAACTCATGAATAAGAGCCCAATAAATCAAAGGAGCCTTCTTTTACCTGATGGTGGGACTTGAGATGGGTCCTCCTGGGAGATCCCCTCCAAGACAAGTTCCTGAAAGGGATATGACACATCCCCTAATGCTTTAGGCGCTTGGGTGGCCACCTCCATGAAGAGCTCTTGAACCTGAAATAGCAGCCAAGAGAAAAGAGAACATCACTGCCCC